TTTAATTAATATTTAATCATACATAACACGAAAACACGACAAATAAATGTTAAATCGTGTCAATTTCGTGTCGAATTTTAAACATGAACACGACACGACATCGTGTTTTTTACACTTAACATGAACACGAATTCAAATTTCATTTTCGTCCCAATTTTGTTTCGTGTCGTGTATTTTTGTCATGTCATGTCAATAATTGCCACCCTTAACAAAATCCACTGAAAGCAAGAGGTGTTCGTCCATATATAAATGATAAAAATATTAGGGTAAATTACACCAATCGTCCCTCATGCATATGCCAGAAAGCGTGTTTAGTCCCTATTTTCAAAAATTAACTTGGACCATCCCTGACTTTGTTTTTTCTTGCACGCTTAGTCCCTATTGACATGAAATGACTACTTTACCCTTAATAATTCCTTTTTTCATTTTCTTTTATTACTTTATCAGTTTTATATTATAAAAAAAATCTAAGTGTCCCCTCCCCTTCTCTTTCCCTTTTCCTTTTACTTTTCCGGGAAACCAGCACCACCAGAATCACCAAAAACCACCCGTCCTCTTCCTTTCTCCGAAAAAAAAGTAAATTACACGAATTTATGTGGATTGAAGGACATACATACATAAGAGACTAGTTATATGGCCAATATACATGTGTTGGGAATTACTTAACTGATTAAGACAATTAAGATGAAAATTAGGCAGATTAACAACACCACCGATCAATACCATCACCATCATATCTCTCCAGGACCACCGTAGATCACCAACAACATATATCTTCTTCACAAACAATAATGAAGGGAACAAGAAGAGAAGCTTGTAGGGACGAAGTCGCTAAAGATCCACATATTTTATCACGTTTGATGCTCGAGAAGGTTAAGCGATCTGAGATAAAACCCTAGGTGGTGATCACAATCTGAGAAGAAACCCTAGGCGACGATGATCTAAGACGATGAAGGTGAAGGTTGGAAGATAAAGTATTCAGATTAGAGAAGGAGGAGAGATAGAGAGAATGGTTGTGATCCTTTGAGCTCCATAACCGATCTCCACAGTGGCAGCGCACAAGTGAGGAGGTGGAGGTGGCTTGGATGTGACGATGGTGGATTGGAGGAGATAGCAACGCTTACTTGCACGGGATGACATCATTGGTGCGAAGGGGAGGACCCCGGTGGTTTGAAGATGATGATGATTACCTCCGATGGCCGAATTTTTGCTTCACCGGAGAGATGAGTTTTGAGACGAAGATAAAGAACGGATGGGAGATTTAGGGTATCTAGTTAAGTGGGGATGGGGTGTGTAAGGTGAGGGCCCACTTTATTTTTTTTATATAATATAATTAAAAAAATTAAACAATCAAAAAGAAAATCAAAAAGAAAATAAACAAGGGTAATATAGTCTTTTCAAGTCTCATAAGGGATGAAACATGTAGATTTAAATTGATGAGGGATGAAACATGCAACTTTTAACCAAAAAAGGGACGGTCCGAGTTAATTTTTGAAAATAGGGACTAAACACGCTTTCTGACATGTGCACGATGGACGATTGGTGTAATTTACCCAAAATATTATTTTAATAAAACAAAAAGTAAATTAAAGTTTCATCACTTGTGGTTTACACTTTTTAATCTAATTTTGTATTTTTTTTGACAAAACTCGGTTTCCAAAAATTGCATGTAGAGATGGAAAAAAAAACCCGTACTGGATGGGTACCCGAAACCCTAACCCGAGTTGATCGGGTAAATCTTCGATTTGACCGGGATGGAGATGCGTATTATTCGAATGCAAAAATCGGGGATGTGGATAGGGATGGTTCTACCTATTGGGTACACATACCCGTACCCAAACCCGACCCCGATGGGTACCTGATATATATATATATATATATATATATATATATATATATATATATATATATATATATATATATATATGTTTTTATTTTTAATCAATCCATAAATCATAATGCATAAGTGAAAGTACGCGAGTAGTCATAGTAAGGTTTTACTTTTTGGAAGATTTTTTTTTTTTTTTTTTTTGCAAAAAAAATCGTTTAATTTATAAACTTGAATGCTATTGTTCATGTTTAATGGATTCAGTGTTATATTGTTTTATATTATTTCTATTAGTTTTTGTTTTGTTGGTTAATATATAAATATGTGTTAGTTTTCAAAAAAGTTCAAAACTTTATAATGGAGAAAAATACTTGATTACCCATCGGGAACCTGTTCCCCATTGGGGGTGAGGATGATGATAGATTTTTAATTCCCGATGGAGATGGTATTAGGTATGGGAACGAAGGTATGGGGATGGAAAATACAAAATTGAGTATACACGTATCCGTTTTCATCTCTAATTGAATGCATGGTCCTTGAAACTAACTCCTATTAATTGTCATCCGTTGAAGTACATACAAAATGACAAAGATGCTTTTGTTTTTGTCATTTCTAATTTTGTCCATTTTTTTTTATTTTGTCATTTTTAAAATTCAAGTGACCATTTTGCTATTTTCACAAAAATGCAATAAGGACCACCCTATGCCTAAGGCCACTCAAAATGATAACAACTAAAATAAAAAGTACAAAACTAGAATATATTTATCATCTTACAAGTTTTTACAGATTTCGATAGCATTTTTAGGGACTGTGTAACTATTGAAAACCACAAAAACAAATTATATTAAATTTATTGAAAACCACAAAGACAAACCATGTAACTATTGAGCATATATGCATGCACCGCTCGTTCTCAAGGAAGATAAGGTCTTGGTTGATACAATTTGAATTGGAGTGGTTTAGTGCCTTGCATTCCTTTTGATGAGCTTAAAATTGTTTTGATTTTCTCGGGCATTACTAAGAAGAGATTGAAGCTCCAGTTGATGTTAATATACTTTGTATTGTGGAGTATTTGAAGAACTCGTAATGACTTGGTTTTTAAGAAGAATAGATGCTCCATTCTCAAGGCAGCGGATGATATTTAAATTCTTACGTTCAATTGGGTAAAAAATAGATTAATTCTTAATTTTATATCGTGGTTTAATTGATGTATTTCTCCTTTATATGCTTGTAATTTGCAACTCGTTTTTATGCTAGCGTCTTGCTAGTTTATAATGCATTTCCCGTTAAAAAAACCATATTAAATAATTAAAAATTAAACTAAAATATATTAGGTAACCTTTCAAAATTCAAATTTACTTTTTCTAATTATATTTTAAATTTAAAGTTATAAGAAATTTAAAATTTTGATATATTTTATAATTAATAATTTATTTAAAATAATTAATAAATAATTTATTAATTTTTACTATCCCCATTATAAACTAGTTTACTATAAAACAAATACCGCGTGTGTATAACACTACAACTTCTTCAACCAGATTGGGCCGGGTGTGGAGGTCCACTAACCGAAGCCCAATACATCACCCCCAATTCTGACTCCGCAAGAAGTTATTTCAATACATCGATCTGAATCCTTTCTCTCTTCTGTGGTGACTAGGTTATCGATTCTCCTCCATTTCTGCTCTCGCGAATACCTTGACTTTATAAACGTCCAAGTAAGTCCATTCGTCTCAATTCGATGCCTTTGTCAATTGCATCGTATTAATTTGATCTGATTTTATAGGTTTCTAGGTTTTCTTGATTCGTAGAGTTAGATGTAAATTACGCAACGAGTCTATGCCACGTCTTGACTCATAGTTCCTTTTTTAGAGGATATATCACCTGACGCTTCATCTGATTAATGATTCGAATCGATTTTTTTCTGTACAATTGGCATATCAACATGTATTACTTGTTTCTCGATCTGTATACACTATACAGTATTTTGATTGTCGAAATTTCCTTTTTTGTATTTGATTTAGAGTCTGGTATTGAATCTGGCAATAGAATTGAAGTTTTTGAACATGATGAGAGCTTAGGTAGATTCTATTGCCCTAAAGTTAAAAACATTTGTTTGCAGGATGGTGGCAGAAGCACCTTTTAGACCAAGAGAACAACTCCTTGAGAAGCAAAGATTGTTTCAAAGCATCCACAAACACACTCATTTGAAAAGTCCAATGGACAAACTTACCTCAGTTGCCATTCCTGTTGCTCTTGCTGGTTCTTGCCTTTTTCTCATTGTAAGTTCATTTCTCAAAACATTTTCTTTTTTGTATATAAATTTGCAGTTCTTTTTTTTTTTTAAGTAGCTTGCATTTGTTTATAGGGTCGAGGTATCTATAACATGTCTCATGGGATTGGAAAGAATGAATGAAAACTGAAGGCACACAGGAAATGCTTACAGTTTTTGAAGTTATTCTTCTTTGAATTTAGACCTTTGTATTGTTCAAGTTTTTATGCTTTTATGAAGTTTAAATAATTTGTTTGCACTTTGCAGTAGGTTGAACCACTGCATTTTGACATTCTACTTTCTGTTATGGAGAAATTCTTGATTGTTGGATGTTTTTTAGCATGATTTTATCAAATTTAATTGGCATCTATCTAATATTTTGAAGTTTGGGATTTAAAAGAGGTAGCAGTGATCAATTTAAAAGATTTATACAATATCATTCATCAAATGGTTGTTTTGTTTGTTATTTACATTTAGGTAATTTACATAAAAGCCACTATAATTTGGCTATTTGTATGGTCGAACCACTATATTTTTATTTATTCAATAAAAGTGACTCAAGTTTTATAATTTTTTTTTTTATGTCTACTGCTATGACGTGTAGTGGTCACAATAATTTATTTTTTTGCCAAAGTTTAGTCGGTTTAGTGAAACTTTTTACACTTAATATTTCACTTAAGTCATTGAATATTTCATCGTTAAATGTTCCATTAAAGCTACTAAAGTTTGACAAAATTTTATATTGCGACGTTTTTAACATTTTATGGCATGTTATAGCAAGGTCAATTCAAAAAATATCAAAATTGGGTTATTTTCATTGATTAAATTAAAATATATTGATTAAACCACGCAAATAACAAAAAATATAGGGACTTTATTAATTTGTATGTTACATTTAAAAAATATAGGGGCTTTAATAATTTGTATGTTACATTTAAAAAATATAGGGGCTTTAATAATTTGTATGTTACATTTCCTATGATGTGAACTTTGTTACTATTATGATATATATATATATATATATATATATATATATATATATATATATATATATATATATATATATAAATACAAGAAGTAAGTCATAAGAAAAACATATTTGAATGTGTTATACAAAACACAATACAAACTCGAAATTGTAGATTGAGGTCTGTAAATTGCAGTGTTTTAAGATAGAAATTGCTCTGGTATGGGTTTGTCTTGAGAATACAACAATCAATTTAAGAACAAGCCTCGAATATATTGAAATTCTCCATGCTTCCTTGATTTCCTAGAAAAACGAGAGAGAAAGAATGTTTTTGTGTATTGTGATCAACTCTCAATATGTATATTTATAGGCTGTCAAATAACAATTAAAATTGTCAACCATCATACATGTTCAAAAATTGAAATTAACTATCAATTAGTTAATGAGCAATTAATAGATTTTCGGAATTTATTAATAAAAATTAATTAATCAGTTAACAGGAGACCAATCCAAGATTAATTTAATAACCAAATACCACAATTCTAATCCAAATGCATTTTTGTCTTATTTTATCCATTGAAAAATATTTAGAGACAAAAATTTATAAAGCTAGTCAAAATTCTTTGTTTCTCTTATGTGGGATAAAAAAATTTATACTACAAGCAAAGTTCCAATAGTTATGACTTTTATTCTAAACAAATTCATAATTCATAATGAATGTTACGAGTCTTTATCATTTTCAAATTTAAGATACAATTTTTAAGTTTTTTTTTTTCCTTTTTTTTTTCTCTCCATTAACTTATGTGTAATGAAGTGGCTAATTGAATTATAATGTTCCTTAGAGTGATTTATACATAATTTTTTTTTCTAAACTAAATAAATCTTCCTAGTAAGATCAAATGACTATTTTGCTCATTAAATTATGAAATCCAAATTTTAAGATATTCAGTCATTTTAACAATGTCTATAAGGAGTTGGAAAAAATAATAATAAAAGCAAATAGATAAAAGGTTAATGTTTTTGATACATTAAACCAAGTTTTTTTTGGCTAAACACTTTAAATCATATTGTCCAAACTAAATAAGAATTAATAAACATTTATATATGCTCAAATTAAATGCTTAAGCGATTAAGCTCGTGAAATAATAAGTAAAAAATAAGTTGCAAAGATTTGTTAGATTTAAGGCTAAACTCTTTATAACTGAAATAACTAAATACCTAATGTACAAATTTATTTTGTAATTAGTAAAACATATTCATAAAATACCAACTAATATTAGTTTATTATAAAAAAGATAGAAAAAATGAGATGGGAATAACTCCTCTTTTGCATTGAAATTTGAGACTATAAATTCTCAATTTCATTGTGATATTGTTTTTTGTTTTATAATATTATGGGGCAACGAGTAGATTCTTTAAAGTTAGTACCCACATTTAACAAACAAGTAAAAATACAGGGACTAAAATGTTGACATGTCCAAAGATGCTCAATTAGCTCGCGCTATAACCAAATGGCAAATACCCATCACCTGATAGAACACACGACAGTGCCCGACTCAACCATTTTTACACAGCAACAAAGCTCTCCATAGAGGTGAAGAAAACCTTATCAATGGTTGTTTTAAGCTTCAACACCGAGATCTCACTGATTTCTCCTTGAAACTTTGATTTATCTCTGAAAACTTGGTTTCAATCCGATAACATGCGGTCAAAAGACAGAATTTCCTACTTCTACGATGGTATGTGTTCTTCTGCTCCGTTGCTTCTATATGTAAATGCTCATGCGATTATTGATGAAATATCATTGCATTATATTTCCAGTTCTCGATCCCTTTTAACTTATTTTTACTTGTTTCTTCCTTACAATCTCAAACCCTAGAAGCTTATGAACTTTCGAGATGACTATCTGCTAATAAATAGAATACTCTTCTTATAACATAATAGATTACCTTTCTAAAATTTGGTTACGAAATTGAGAAATGATTGTGAAAATTGGAGGCGATTGACTTTTGCAGGGGATGTTGGTAATGTTTACTTCGGACCTAATCATCCAATGAAGCCGCATAGATTATGTATGACTCATCATTTGGTGCTTTCATATGATCTACACAAGAAGATGGAAATCTATGTTAGCTTTCTCTATCTTTTCCCTCTTTGGTTTCATCTCTAAAAGACTGATAAACTTTCTTAATAATCTATGATCTCTGGTGTTTAATACAGAGGCCTCATAAGGCATATCCAGTTGAGCTAGCTCAATTTCACTCAGCCGATTATGTGGAGTTCTTACAGCGTATAAACCCAGACACACAACAGTTGTTTCCAGAAGAAATGGCAAAATGTAAAACATCTCAATGCTCAAATCCCTTTCACCAAATATACAAGACTTTATCTTGTTCTTAACTTCTATCTAATCTTCAGTTAAACTTGGAGAAGACTGCCCTGTATTTGATGACTTATTTGAATTTTGCCAAATATATGCTGGTGGAACAATCGGTAAGTTTCTCAAAAGGGTATTTTAGTCATTCTTCATCAACACATCACATTAACACATACAAGCAGATGCTGCACGCAGATTAAACAATCAACTTTGTGACATTGCAATAAACTGGGCTGGAGGATTACACCATGCAAAAAAATGTGAAGCATCTGGATTTTGTTACATCAATGACTTGGTTTTGGGAATCTTGGAGCTTCTTAAATATCATGCAAGAGTTCTTTACATTGACATTGATGTTCATCATGGAGATGGTGTAGAAGAAGCCTTTTATTTCACTGATAGAGTGATGACTGTTAGTTTTCACAAATATGGAAATATGTTCTTTCCTGGATCAGGTGATGTTAAGGTATTTACATATTTATATGTTCTTTCCTTCCTTCCTTCCTTCTTTTTTTTTTTTTCACACAAAGTGGGACCTGATTATATTCTAATTTTTCTTATTCATATAGGAAATTGGGGAAAAAGAAGGAAAATTTTATGCGATTAATGTACCTTTGAAGGATGGTATAGATGATGGAAGCTTTACTCGATTGTTTAAAACAGTATGTATTAAAAATTAGATGTCTTTTATTTTTATTTTTTAATTATATTTAATGTATTTTTTTTTTGTAGATTATTGCGAAAGTTGTTGAAACATATCAACCAGGTGTAATAGTTCTCCAATGTGGAGCAGATTCACTTGCTGGAGATCGATTGGGATGCTTTAATCTCTCAATAGATGGTGATAATTTTTAATTTTTAATTTATTATTATATTTATTTTGAAATACTTACTTTTGAATTTCTTCCAGGACATGCTGAATGTGTTAGATTTGTTAAAAAGTTCAATTTGCCTCTACTGGTGAGTTTATTTTTAAATTAAATAAAAAGTAGCTTACATTTTTTTTTTTAAAGTTTTAGATTTTATTTTACTTTAAGGTAACTGGAGGTGGAGGATATACAAAAGAGAATGTTGCCAGGTGTTGGACTGTTGAAACAGGAGTTCTTTTAGACACAGAGCTTCCTAATGGTATATATATATATTATGTTATTAATTTATTAATTTATTATTTTAATTTCATATAGGTTTGTTAATTTAATTATGCATATTGCATAACAACTAATTACAGAGATCCCGGATAATGACTATATCAAGTATTTTGCACCAGAGTGTTCTTTAAGGATTCCAACTGGTCATATTGTATGTAATTATTTTTTATACTTTGAATTTGGATTAATTACATTGATAATATTTAATTTTATAACGTTATAAAAATAAATATTTATTGATGTTTGGACAGGAAAATTTCAATAGCAAGTCTTATTTAGGAACTATAAAGATGCAAGTTTTGGAAAATCTACGTTCCATTCAACATGCCCCAAGTGTACAAATGCAAGAGGTTACAAATATAATACTTTAAGTTTTTACCAAGTGTTTTTTATTAATTTTTTAAACATGGCTTTTTATATATTTTGGTATGTTTTAGGTTCCACCGGATTTTTATATTCCTGATTTTGATGAAGATGAGAAGAACCCTGATGAAAGAAACGATCGTGAGTGTATAAAAAATAAATAAATAACTTTGTTGTTTTTATAATTGGAGATTAATTAGGTTAACTTTTATTGTCTTTTTTTTATTCAGAACATACGCAAGACAAGCATATCCAACGTGATGATGAGTACTATGAAGGAGATAATGACAATGATCATAACATGGATGATGTTTAGTTAGATACTACTACTACTCACAATGGACGACATTTATTCTAGTATTTCGTTTTAGGGTAGACTATATGTAGAGTAGATATTACAAAATTATGCTTCTTTTTAACTAACTGTTTTGGAACACTCACTACAAAGAAAAGAATCAATCCACACAAAGTCTTGTTAGTTAATCTCTAATTTAAAAAGATACATATATGGATTATGTTCCTTGTAGGATAGTGGAAAACCAAAATATCCATTTTACCCCATTAATAAATACTAAATATGATACAATGACAATGAAGTGTTACATTTAAGAGTTTTTGTTCATTATGTCAAGTAATATGATGAGATGAATGGAGGAAATCTATGAGCTGTTTTCTGCCAAAATGGTATCCAATAGCGATTCACATGCATCCTCAAGCAAATCCAACACCTATAGAAAGTAGAAACAGCCATTAAGAACTTAATGAGATTGACAAAATGGAAGAAAAGTTCAAGAGTTTTGGAGCATCTAAGACATGCAATAGCTCAAGTAAACATTATTACATTCAGAATTGCATTTCTAGCGTATGTTTGAGCACAAACACATCAACTCTGTAAATTATTACATTAAGGACTTAATGAGGAAAGGATAATTTCCCAATTATAACGTGTTATCTTGATAAATTATGTTTTAAGACACCAATGACCAATATATAAGTAAAAAAGAAACAACACTTAAATTAAATTCAACAGAGTTTATGTTTACCTTCTCAAAACCTTGTGCTCCACCATAGTAAGGATCAGGCACTTCAGTTTCATCATGTTTTTTACAGTAAGAACACATTAACTTAACCTAAATTCACACCCAATTAATGAATTAAACAACAAGAATTGCAAATGCATTAAAAATAAAAAAAGATTCTTTAAATCTTTCTACAGACCTTCTTGTATGCATCAGCTGGTAAGGCTTCCTTAAAACTCCATCTTTCCAAAGCTGCAAGTATATCCTCTGCAATCCATACAAAAATTCAACGAAATGATGAAGAAAATTACTTACATTTAACTCAAAAATCAATGTCTTACGACTTAATCTAAATAAATCACACCTTTATTTTGCTTGTCCATGGCAAGAATGAGATCAAATTCTTTGAAATCGGATGGCCTTATTGGCCTTGATATCGATGTGATTTCAATTCCTCTTCTTTTAGATGCAGCTCTCATTCGCGAGTCCGCTGGACCTCCCTTCAATAAAAGATAAATCATCACAAAATTCAGAATGAAATCTAAGAAATTGAACATCGAATCATGAATGGGTACTCTTGAAATTCTCCTAAAAGCAATTCAATTAATTGAGGAAAAACCCATGATGGAATAATCTATAAACCTCGTGATAGTTGATTGTGCCAGCAGAATCGATGATAAACTTGGAAGAAAGATCTCGTTTTTTGACCAAATCAGTGAAGACGCCTTCGGCAGCTGGGCTTCGACAGATGTTTCCCAAACAGACGAAGAGAACAGAGAAGGGTTTTTCTGTAGTTTTATCTGTCTGAGTTGTGGAAGCCATTGACGATGATGATGATGTGATTACTGTTATTGGGTTTTGTTTAATTTGTGATATTCGATGAAAGATATTTGAAGTTTGAAAATGTGGTGATGGATTTAGAGGAAGAAGGGTTGGAAGAAAGGGGGATTTGGTGTCGCAATGGCAAAATGGCAACTTAGGGAGGCTACTGGTGCATAGTGACCTCATTGCTGCCTGCGATTTTGGTAGAAAAGGGGTGAGGTGAGCCCAAAGAATAAGGTTCGAAAGATGCTTTTGTTAGATTTTTATTTGTATGATTACATTTTCACCACAAAATAGACTTGAATAAACTTTTGATAACTGGAATTTCTTAACTTACAAAAAATTATAAAATATGATATCTATTAACATGTTTTTCATAAAGCACTTTTCAGACTCAATTACCTTTTTTTTTTTTTTTTTTTTTTTTTTTTTTTTTTTTTTTTTTTAAATTTTTAGATAAATTATTTTATGTAATTTATATATTTTAAAAGCTTTCAATTATTTTTGTTGATCACTAATGCAAATAAAAACTACAACTTCCAGCTAGTTTTATCGTACACGTCTATAATTTATTAATGTGTTTATAACATAAGAAAGTTAACTGCTATACAACTGCAAAAATGATAATCTTGTGAAAAAAACAATTTTAGATTTGTTTTATCTTCCTACTTTTTTTTTTTTTTTTTGAAATAAAATACAGTGAAACATGTTTATAAATACACCTTGGAAAGGAGAGGTTTTTAATTTTGGGTAAATAATCCTCCAACACATATTTTCTTGGAGACGAAGTATAAGTCAAAATCCAACAATACATATTTATGTATGTATTTTTGTACTATCAAAATTTAAATGAGATAAGGCTAGAAATATTGACAACTCAAACACATAAGTTTTAGGGCGTGTTTGGTAAAAGTAGCTGTTAGCTGTTAGCTGGAAGCGGGTAGCGGTTAGCTAGTAGCTGGTAGCGGGAAGCTGTAGCTTTAATTTGTTATATGAATGTTTGGCAAAAGGAGCTGGAAGCTTTTGAAATATATAAAATTACATAAAAGGATAATTGATTAAAAATAAAAAAGTATATAAATATATTTTTAAGGGTAATTATGGAAATTGATTTCAAAAGCTTCGGAGCGTTTTGTTAAAAGCTACATGAAGTAGCTTTTAGAATCGGAGCGTTTTGATAAAACTAAAAGCTAAACGCTCGTACTGCCAAACAAAGCTTTTTGTTTAAACTAGAGTGTTTTGTCAAAAGCTAAAAGCTAGAAGCTTCCAAACGCTTCCAAAAGCTCCGTGCCAAACACGCCCTTAATGAGATTCATACAAACATGGCTAAATCATTCGGATAAGTCCACTAATAAATAACTCTTTAGAGTGACGCTTGTTATCCATCAACCCAATGTCCTGATCTTTCTCAAATAGTCAAAGGTTGTCATCACAACACACTCATTACCGCAAAGCACGACTCTTAACAATTCAACTCATACATAACCAATGATAAGAGGTGATCAAAAATGAAAAACCGAATGTTTCATAATACAACGTAACGTAAGGGCATCCACAGTGGGAGTTTAATAGGAGTTAAATAGACGGTGATTAAGATTGAATAGATGTTGAATGAAGTGTGGGTGATGACATGAAAGATGGTTGAATGGAAGAGTTGTATGATAATTGAGTGGTTGAATGAAATTAATCTTTTTTTTTTCAGTTAAATTTCAAACCAAATATATATGTAATCATATTTTCTTATATTTTTATATTTGATTCTTATATTTTTTTTTAAATTAAACCATAAATAAAATTAACCATATTTTTAGGTATTATATTATTTTATCAATTTTTAGGTCTTATTTTTTCAAATAAATAATACAAATGAAGTATTAAAGTAAAAACACTCTTAAAAGTAAATATATTCATTACAAATCTAATACAAACTAATTTTGAAAAAAATATTACATTAATTGAACTATTACACATTAATTGCGACTATTATAGATTAGTAGCATGTTGGATTTGGGACAACAAATTTGGATGAACCGTTGTGAAGAGATCAAGATAAAATAAAATTTGTAGGTATCATTTTTTATTAATGTATTTTTATGTTTCATGTTTATTAATTAATGTATTTTTAGGTATTAAATTTTTAGGTATCATAATTTTTAATTAAGGTATTTTTAAGTATTGTACTCTTTTTTAATTATTAAATCTTTTATTTTTATCAGTGTTGTAAAAATCCCGATTAATCTCCAATTAATCCCTAAGCGCTACTTGACCGATTAGAGAGCGCCTACCAATTGATCCATGAATACAAAATGACTAAAATAGTAGAACCCGATAAAATTTTAACACTTTGAAGAAATTATATCTCAGTAGAAACTATTTGAGGTATGATTAGTGTTGTATTTATCATATTAACCTATTTTGTTATGATATTAATAGTATTTATGATATTTTATATGATATTAGTCATATTTAATTTTTTAAAATTTAACAAATTAGCAATTAATGATCTCTGATTAATCCCCCGATTAATCTCCGCCTAACTGATTAATCCCTTGACCCCTGTCCACCGTCTAGATAATGTCGAACGACTTTTACAAACTTGATTTTTATATGTATAATTATATTTAAAAATATAACAATGATGATGTGAATTTCATTAAACCTTGAAGGTTTAATGGAGTGTGAATGTTAAAGAGTAAAGTTTAATAAAAAGTGAAATGTCGATGTGGCAGTGATATGGTAATCTATTGAAATCCTTAGAGTTCAATGGACTGTAGATGCCCTAAGACCATCTGGCTTGCTTGCCACAAACCATTTGTAGTCTATGTAGCTACTAACCACAAATGTGAACACTATATCACAGGTGTTTGTGGTAGTTAGTGGTAAAGCATTTCCATGGTCAATTGTGGTGGGGAACACTGACCACCACACCCAATTACTTTGTTTCTCTCTATTTCTCTTCATATCTCTCTCTACCTTTCTCCATCTCTCTCTAAAGTTTAATTAATAAAAAAATATTTTTTATTTTAATAATAAAAAATAAGAAGGATATAATAGTGACTGGTCCAACCTTTTAGTGGTTGAATGTAATGATAAGTTGACACCGACCACTATAATGGTTAATAATAAGTATAACGGAAGGCCTAATAAATCAAAATAGTATAAAAACCATGCATAACAAATTAACAATATATCATATGATACAAGTTTTTCCTTTTTAAGAGACATGTGCTTTTAAAACATTAAGGGGCTGTTTGGTAGCATCTTGAAGATTCATATATGAATGATGCAAATGTCTGGATGATGTAGAGGCTCTTTATGAATCTGTATCTGAACAATAAATTGATGTTTGGTTAGTCACTGAATGTCTGCCACTTAACAAGGAAAATGACTATTTTAACCCTCTAAACTATTTTTTTGCATATATAACAAACACATCATCCAACATCCAAATATGTCATATATACATCCTGAGATCACATTATTCTCTCTATAGCAACAGCATTTATGTAAAGTTTATATATGTCAATGACACCTGCAATCAATTTTGCTATGTCAATGCAGACACCTACAATCAATTTAGCCACCAGCATTCAATCAATTCGACAATAAACTCGTTAAATAGGAATTGGTGTTATCATTTTAACCACCTGCACTCAATCAATTTGGCAATAAACTCATTAAAGAGGAAATGGTTTGGAATTTGATTATGGATAAAAAAAACATCTGCAGATAACTTCAATCATCAACTCTCTAACATAAAGTTCACAAATAACTCTTAAATTTGAAGGATTTATGGATCCAAGCATCGATCCATTTATACCTATTAACTTATTGGATCAGTTCTTTACTATTCGACTGATATCAGACCAATCGAAAAGTCGTCTTTGTAAATTACACTTGATGCAACACCAATTTCATACAAAATCGACTAGAATAAAGAAAAAAACGAGTAGCAAGAACACGATTGCAACACCAATTTCAAGGAAGAAAAACAAATCAAAAAACTTACCGATGAAAGTGGGAGGAGGGGAGGGGAGGCGACAAAGGCGGAGATGGAGCAGCATTGCCGGAGGCTGGCAGGTGGAGGCAGTGACGAAGCTAGAGGCTGGCATGGAAGCCACCGACGCCTGAGGAAGAGGGAGAATGAAGGAGGCTCGGAGAAGCGCTCGATATGTAGAAAGAAGGAGAAGAAAGAAAAGAGGCGGATGCTTGTTGGTAGGCTAAGGACGACTGATGGAATTTTTTTTATTTGGACTCGTTTTCTTGTCTTACCAAATCAGATCATTTTTTGGCACATCTTACCCATTAAGATGGGAAAAAGGGTTCAACCAAAGAGTCTGAATCTTAATGATCTAGAGGCATTCTCTTGATGAGATCGTTAAGAGGGGAAACAAACAGCCCCTAAGAGGGTGTTTGGATAGAATTCTTAAAAATCAACTTATTATAGTAAGGATAAACTAAATAAGTTGATTTTAATAAGCATTTTTTGCTTATTGATTATTATTCATTCCCACCGCAAATAAGTTAATAAACAATTAGTTATAATCTAATTTATCCAAACACCCTAAGTAACATCATTTATTGCAACAAAATTATCCTCCACACGTGCTTGTAGGCTTCATAAAACAATAAAAGCACCTAAATGTATTAGACATGCAACTTGAATACTAAGGTGGTGTTTGTTTTGGAAGTGGTAAACATCTTTAGTCTTTTTTCGTATTTACGGTAGAAGACGTTGACCAAAAGTATTTTTCTATGTCTTCATACAAGAAGCGATAAAGAAATCTTTTTGAGTTCTTTTGTCTTCCAGAAAACAGTTTTTTTGCTAAACATCTACCCGCCTATAGATGTAAGTGCCCAAAAAGTCTTTTTGCCAAAAAAACAAACGAGCCCTAAAACCTACGTACAAATTTTGTAATACCATCTAAGAAGTTTTCTAAGGCTTCCAATTTTCGGCACAATCAACACCTATTTTCATGTTCTTGATCAAAGTTGGAATGTGGGATGCCAAAAAAACTCTTTTCGTTTTATCATATAAACCTTAAAATTCACAATTTTATCACATGGTTTCCAAAATCAAAAGAAAACCGTCTAAACTAACGACAAAACTTAACTTATCGATGATTAACTCTTTGAAATCTCTACTTTCTAGATGACTTCAACTATAAACCAAATAAAGCAAATCATTCCATCTTTCAAGCCAATGGAATGTAATGATCTATTCCATTCCATAACAATGTTCACTCAATTCCTTTATGTTTTCATTCCACTCTTGTGATCATATATATAACAAAATTTGATGACAACCCA